CTCTCTCTCTCTCTCTCTCTCTCTCGTGTGTGTGTGTGTGTGTGTGTGTGTGTGTGTGTGTGTGTGTGTGTGTGTGTGCGTGCGTGCGCCAGAGGTCAATGTCAGGTGTATTCAATTGCTCCTCACTTTATTGAGACAGGGTCTTCACTCAATCTGAAGCTCACCTGCTTGGCTAGAATGGGATCCTCCTTTCTCACCCTCCTCCACCCTAGCACTACGATTACGGGTGTGCACTGCCATGTCTGGCCTTTTATTTGAGTAGTGGGGGCTGAACACAGGTCCTCATGTATGTGTGGCAAGTATTTTATCGACCAAGTCATCCTCCCAGTCCCCAGTCTGAGCTCTTATATATTTTTTTCCTAAACACGTCATCATCAGTCACTATCACATTCACAAACTCAAACTTGGGGAGCAGCAGGCAAATGTGATTTATATTCTAAGGTTTCAGAAAGCAAATTACCACTCAGGGCGATGGCTACTTCTCAGTTTATGGGCTTGAAATCATGAAATATCTTAATTCACATTTTAGAAAGGGTATCCCAAGAGCTTCATAAAGGTATATTTACAGCACAGTACTTTATAGGCTAGCTTGTTTCCATATCTAAACTAAACACCAACTGTGAAGCATGTTGAATAGCCTCATAACAAGAGGCCAGGCCTATATCAAGGAACAGCGCAGCCTATTAACTTATTTTTTTTTAAGTCTTAGCAGTTCTCCGCTATAACATAAATTTAATATGTCGATGGAATGCAAAATAATAGTGCCAATGGGAGGCGGGTGGAGGGTACAGAGACTCTCATCCATCCTTAGCAGGGAGGGAGACTCCTGAGCATTTCTATTCTGTAGACTCGCCCCTTGCGTGGGCAACAGGAAATAGTGGTTGTATTAGACAATGAGTTTCCTTGGAGAGTAAATTGCAATATTTTTCGCAGTTTATTCAGCAGAATCCAGCAGAGGCATGGCCGGGCTCAGGGGCATTAAAGCAGCAGTGCTACTTCATTATCACGATGACAAAGACTCTTGTGTTCACTTTCTGCGCGATAATTAATTTCTGGAGACATCTTCTTTTCATTGTAATAGTGTTAAATGTGGATAATAAGGCCTGGCGTACCTCCTATATTGACTACATCTTTAAAAAAATAGGGTGGGACTGAAAGGGGGTTGCAGAGATGAAAACATACCAGTTCAAAGAAAAGACAAGACCGAAGGTTTCTGAATGGGCAGAAAGTGGGTATCAACTCTGCAATTACTTGGACCTCCAGAGCAGAAACATCTGCCCCAACTACTTGCCTGTGCCATGGAGACAACTGTGGATTCACTAGACAGAAGCAGAACCCTCCAATATGGGGTCTTGTGTGTATAGACCAGGCCTGGAGACACACACGCCGTTAATATTTAAAGCCTTCGCTTTCCTAGCTGGTCTTTGCACACACATATATTTCCTGCTCAACTGTGTCTCTCTAATCAATAATAACGCTAGCAGCACTATTTATGTTCTAACTCCACTGTGGTACAGCCTGTCAAGGACCTTACGCACAGGTCACGGCCCATATTCATCAGTGGATGCTAAAGTCAATAGCTACCATCATGGTCTGATTAAAGGGATGTGAGGGCAAAAGGGGAAAAATTAAGTTAAATATCAACATTTGCTCATGATTAATTACAGTTTCCATTTCCTTAGTCAAACATTCTATTTTTAGGTAACTGCAAAGTTCCAGGCAGTTGCAAAACACAATACAGAAAAAGCTAATGTATCCGTTCCTCAGTTTACCCTGTGGAACTCTGTCTTCTATATAGGGTAGCAACTATAACTGTCTTCAGCAAAGCATTCCTAACTTCCCCCAGAGACCCTCGCATGCCTATTGACATTGCCTAGCTGGAGGAGGAGGCAGGTAAGGTCATTAGACCCTTAACCGAGACTTTAGCCACTCCCTGCAGACCTCCCAGGCATTTGTATGTAATTTTGCCCCAGCTGAACCCTCTCTCCTGGTGGTGGGAGGCGCTAGAGTACAGAGAATGTGGAAAGTTAATCGAAGTAGGGCTTCCATCTGTGTGACCATAGGGACGTGGTCATCTATTCTAGAATGCTTTTTGGTGAGGTGGCTACTTTGGGGTCAACTGTGCTCCCATAAGTGACCCCAGTAGACTTGCAAACTCACTGGTTCTTTAAGCTAGACCTTGTCCTGGTACCCTCCCTGGGGTACAGATCTTGCTTACGTCTTCCTGAGTCTATCTCAACAATCACTCCACTGGTAATGCCTCCTTAAACTAAGTCTGATCACCTCCAGGCTATCATTCATGTGATCAACAGATTTTATCTTCTTTGCTCCTTCATCCTTCTGCTTGTGTGTGCATGCACACGAGTTTAGTTCCATGCACAATAATCGCACATGCAGGGTCATGTGTCCATATTGCATTGGAACAAGGAAAGAATGGTCCTTCATACTGAAGATGCCATCCACCCCTAACCCCCGTGTCCAGCCCAGGGCCAACCACCCAATTTTGGTAGTTTTTCATTTCAAGGATGTTATGTGAACAGTTAAGCTGCATGTCACCTTAGAAGTGGCTGTCCTTATGCCCTGTAACTCTCTCAAGATGTGTCCAACGGAAGACATACTTGAGAGGATATACCAGTCCCATGGATTCCTAGCACCTCCAGGTTTTCTTCCCCAGTGTGGTGGTTTGAATGAGAATGCTCCTTCCCCCATGAGCTCATATATTTGAATGCTTGATCCCCGCTTGATGGAACTGTTTGGGAAGGATTAGGAGGTGTGGCCTTATCAGAGAAGGTGGTCTTATCACTGAGGGCTGGCTTTGAGATTTCAAAAGACTCCCATCACTGCCAATTAGCTTCCTCTGCCTCATCTTTTTAGATTAGGATATAAGTAAGCTCTCAGCTACTCCTCCAGTGCCATGTCTGACTGTCTGCTACCATGTTCCCTGCCATGATGGTCATTAGTCAATGACCTCACCTTCTGAAGTTGAAAGTCCCCCAATAAACTCCTTTCTTTTTTTATAAGTTGCCTTGGTCATGGTGTCTTTTCATGGTAATAGAAAATTACCCAGAAACCAGATGCCATTTATAGTTTCAGCTTCCTAGGTGTGTACAGTGGCACCTGGCTAAGGATGGAGACAGAGTCCACAGTGTCCCTGGGGATGGACATGCATGAGGGGATGCCACTTCACCTCAAGCAGAGACCAGGTAGGTGTGATGTGCACCTCACAGCCAGGGATGCTCTACTTTCCTACTTTACAGCACCTCTCTCACCAGTGTGGGGAAGGGTGGCCAGAGGCACCAGGAAACTTGGTGACCCTTTAGAGCAACAACCTGCTGCATCTCGTTCCTGGAAGCCTGCCAGGTAAATGAGGGGATAGGCTAGGTGTTAGAGTTGTCACAGTGGCGCAGGTTCTTCACGCTTCTTCCCTGCCATACACAAACCCCAATCTCTCTTTGTGGGTCCTTCACATCAACCTAATTCAAAGGGGACTCTCAAGGGCCCCCCTCACCCATGGCTGCTTGTTTCTACACAGTCTGTGGGGAGGAGGACAGAGTGGGGCAATTACTAGGCCTTCAGCTGTGAGGACTTCCAGCTGAGCCAGAGATATACCCTGAGGATGGTCAGCTAAGGCACATGCCTTTTTACCACTTGATCTTCCAAGGGCAACTGGGCGAGCATGCGTCTTGGCAAACGGGAGACTCTTTGAGAGTGAGTGCCCAGTTGGCACAGGCCTGGACTGGCCTGGTAACTACTGATCACAGGTGCAGTCAATAAAACCAGGGATTGAAGTGGACACTTCCATCTTTATAAATACGATCAAGACATCAGAAAAGTCTCATGCCCTGGGTGAGACCAGAGCCAAGACAAAGCCAGCATGGGCTGAATGGCCTACAGATAGCCCAGCTGCAGTAATTGGAACCAGAGTTAGGGTCCTCCCTAGGTTGCCCCACACTGAGGCCTTGAATTCCTTTACCCTAGCTTGACAGGGGTTTGATGCACGAGTTCTGGCTTGCAGAGCCAGTCTCAGTGGAGGGGGGCCAAAGCATATCCAGGCTATGTTGTCCAGCCCTCAGGTTTGGTGGAGGACTCAGTCTGAGTCACAGGCTTATTCTGATTAGTACATTTCCCACAGTGGCTTTCCTTCCCTCTAAGAGGCCCAGCTCTGGTGCTATTCTCTATCTCTGGCTTTAGTCACTGTCCACATTGGGTATCTTGTTCACTGTTAGTGGGCAGAATGGTCCCCAAGGATGTGTGTCCTCTGGAACCTGTACACTCTGTATGTGACCTGATGAACTCTGCAGGTGAGATAAGATCATCAATCTTAAAATGGGCAGAGTGGGAGAGCAGGGTTAGCCGAGTGCCAGGTCTAATGGTACGAGCCCTTACAGTGGAGAACTTTTTCCATGAGGAATGAGGAGAGGCAAGAGACATGGCAGAGAT